GATTTTACATATGTGTAAAACTTCATGGGTTTTGTATTGAAGTATGCAGAATTGTTGAGGAGATACACTGGCTGTTAATTGTCTTATATTAGGTGGGTTGATATCAGACAAAGTACTAGAGAAATCTGTCGCATAGCATTATTATGGATGTGTTGCCTTTAGGCAAAGTGATTTCACAGGTTTCGTTGTTCGTTCAGATTTCCGTTGCAATTGTGACGGACCAGAAATCGAGGACTAGCTGTTGTGTCAGAGATTTTGATACGTGGTGGCGTTTAGGGTGCCGATATGCAGGTGAGTTGATTGTGAAGCTGTTCAAAACAAGAAAGAAAGTCAGTCGGGGAATTCTAACATCAGTTTCTAATATTACGTAGGAAGTGGGATTTTCAGCAAGTTGACAATTTCTGATCAAATTGCCGCTTAGGACTTTTTCATCAGGTTGATATCGAAAAAAGAAGAGGAGAGAAAGCGCAAGCAGAGACTGGATAATGGAATACCAATCTAGACAAACTGGGAAGAGAGAAGTTCTTGTCCTTTAAGTGTCATCCGAACTATACTTAAACTCTACTCTTTCCATGTAAGAATAACCTCTTTTTTTCTTACATGAAGTTCACGTGAATCATTAGATAGGCGGTTTTCGTTGGTAATTTTAAAGGTAACACTCACTTTATATCTGTACGTTTCAGTCTACACAATCCAATCAGATGAACTGGTAACTAAATACCCTCCATGGACCCCTTGAGGTAAGGGGTACTTGAGATTTGTGATAGCCTTATTTTGCACATTTAGAGGTCCTGGGATGTTTTCACTCACCCAGAACGTGTAGATAGTGGCTGGATGAGTGACAGGCTCATCATCTATGGGGAGCGGAAGACAGATTATTGTCTCACAGTACGCATTTCCTCAAGGAGTCAATTCAAGGTGCGAGAAAACTCAGCTTTTTTTCTTTTGCTCGAAGATCTTTTGTCTTTCAGGCTGTGATGTTGAAATCAGAAGCTCCATGTAGAATCAGTCAAAGGCATTCAAAAAGAAACTATGCCACAACAGAGATTATTCCTGGCCAGATTCCCCTACTATCTTCACTGCCGATAACCGGATGTACTAAAGCATGATGACTATCATGTCTGACGCCTCAAGGGTACAGAACTTGGACTGTAGCAGGCGAGGAAGGATTTTGGGCGTTTCCATCCCTGAAGACTTGAGATCCCAAGCCAACTGTGACGGAAACGTATTTCTCGGAAACATGGCGCTATTAGCTTAGACGAACTTTAGGACAATTCAATAGCAGACGTTTTCGTTAAACTTTTAACAGCTTCAAACGGCTTCACGTGGGGTTTTGGGACAAAGGTTTTCCCTCAATCCGCAGAGGGACAAACTAAACTCGGATCGCTTCTTGAGATGGTCGATAAACTGGTTCAGAAACTTGGGTCTAGAACATATCAGGAACAAACGGTGGCGCAAGATCCATATCCTCCTGACTACAGAAGATTAGAAACAGAGTCAATACAGGTTCACGTCCTGAACACCTCCGGACATCTACCGCGCCACTTGGTGAATCCTACTTCTAGCACCAATCTTAAACGGCACACACAGAGATCAAGCCCAGAAAGTAACCGGTCAAATATCAGACGCAAATTCCATTCCTTAGGAGCTCTCAAGTTCTGGAACGCTTTCGCTGTAGGAACAGTCCAGGCTACCTCATATGAATCTGTCGAAAGTTGTCCTGGTACATTCTCAAGACGTGGGTGGGAGCTTACCCAGAACTGAGGTAATTTTCAGTTTTTAACCACCATAGCTTCCTCTCCCTCTCCACTTTTACACAGGTTACAAACCACAGAAACTGGTGATCCACGGATTTCAGACGCGAAAGCGATCCACACAAAAGTTTCTCCCATTCCGCCAATGACCATTTGAAAGAAACTCCTACCTGCAACTTGGGACATAACCAACAACTGCTTCAAGTAATGCTCAGAGTGGTGTCTATAGATTATGGCGATGCCATTACAACCGCAGGTTTTAATGTCCCAACTCTAAATCTTGGCCGTGACAGGGCAACCCAAAGCGGCAAGTTCGACCGAAACTCACTTAAAACCATCGAAAAGGTTGGACTGTGTGAGAATACTGGCAATGACACTAGCTGGAGGTCGGGTGGAAAACCGTCCATACTGAAATACTTTCTTACCGGCGATTATCTGCCGGCAGAGAACGTTCAGCTTCAAACCTCCCCCGGCAGCAGCGATCACGGTATGGTAGTGGTTTATCTGGATCTCGCCTTTATTAATGTTACAGAAAGGCAAGCTATTTACCGACCAACTAATATCCGTTGACAGCAACATGTCTGCAGGAGTGGAGTACCTTACTGACTGATCAACACGAAGGACTAGTGAGGGGCAGCATTCCAGCAGTCACAACAACACCAAAGAAGCGAACCTTATAGCTGGGAAGAGATACCAAACGCTTGTCGAAAGCCGAGAGGAAAGCGTGGCATAACGGGAGGATCTCCAGGAGCGGACCGAGTCACAGCGCATATATGAATCTAGAGAATAGGCACAGCATCAGAGTGAGGGGGATAGGCATTCGTTTCAGGCAAACCTTGCCCAGAAACTTGAGGAGAACTCCAAAAACCAGCATCGATTCATGGCGGAGAGAAAAGCAATAAGCCTTGGAGCTTGCTTTACGAAAGACCCGAGCGGAGAGAACCTCTTCGGACTACTGATGATCGAAACCTTTAGCATCGCCTTCGACACGGCTAGACACGCCGTCATCCAAAAGAAACTGCCAACTGCCGGGCAAATTTTAGCAGTACTCAATGCAGCAAAGATGCGTAGAATAGAGGCAACCCCGCTATGGTTCTCAAAAAGCTGTCTAAGCTCCTCTGAGGTAAATCACCGGGATGCAATGATACCCCACCGTGTATGTTGAAACAGTGTGTGAGTGCCTGACACAATCGGCTCCGCGATCTGTTTCAGCACTCCTTAGACAGCCACGTGAGGGTGGAAACGTGCTATTCTGTCTCTCATCTTCGAAGGAGGAGAAGGAAGAACCCAAGATGTTATTAGCCCGCAGCAATTCCCCAGTGTTGTCGAAAGTAATAGAGGGCCTGGTAGAGGGTCATGTCAGGTAGTACTTGGACAAGACGGGAGCACTTAGCGATGTCCAACATGGTCTCAGATAGGGCTGGTCCTACGCCTCAAACATTCCGGCGGCGGATGACAACTGGCTGCTGTGCTGGAACCTCCAATTTTCTGTTCCCGTGACTTTCCCGGATTTCGCTAAAGCCTTTATCACAGTCGCACACACCATTCTCATCAGCAAAATATCAAGGCTAGGTATCAACGGCGAAGCGCTTTCCTGGTCACAGGACTATTTAGAGGGCAGAGAATCCCGCACAAAGGCCGACAGGGTTTGTTCGACTTGGAGAACGTCACCACCTGGTATGTCACAAGTAGTGGTTTCATATCGGCAGCTATTCCTTCTCCTTGTGAACGACCTTACATTGAATCTCAACACCCCTGATTCTGCTTTACGCTGGCGGTGTCGAGTTATAGAAAGCTATGACGTCCGAAGTAGAATCAAGTGCGCTGCAAAGCGATCGCAAACCGCTTACAGAGTGGTATGGTAGTAACGGACCGAGATTTAATCTGCATAAATGCCGAACCGTGTTACTCCACGCCCCTGACTCTCTCCACGGGTGCAACCTTCCCACACCAACACTGAGAAAGACCTGGGACTGATACTGGCTGGCAGGCTAGCCACCGGTTCCAATCACCCAGGAAATGCCTTCGGAGCCTGCCCAGTATTACACTTCATGCGCGACCAGCTAGGTATCCTCACTCTGAAACCCTTCTTTAAGCTGTGCAGGACCCAAATATGTCGTCACCTAGAGGTTCACAATGTCCAGGAACTACCATATCTGAAAAGGGATGTGTATCTGCTGAAGAAAGTTTAGAGGCAGGCAGCAAAGGGTTTGCGAGAATGAGGTAAAAACCGCATGATGGTGGGCTGAAAGACTAGTAGGTTTACTCTCCCAGCCGCCGATGGTTACACGGTGGCTCGTTAAAGGCTTACAAAGTACTAAGTAATCCAAGTCATCCGAACAGTGGAATCCTGCCGAACGGCTGCTGTGACAATCCACGTGGTGTTAGCCCAAGGAAAGTCACCCACCACAGGGCGAAAACCCATGTGCGTTCACACTTCTTCTCTCCGTGGACTTGCGGCCACTGGGACTCACCGCTTGCCGGGATCGCAACTGCTCCGCCTGTTGGCTGCTTCAAGATGTTGCACAGCTGCAAAGCAAGGTACGGTTCGCGCCCACCCAACTGGGATACGGACTAGGTTGACAAAACCTGCTAACTCCAAAGGACACATCGCAGCCAACGCTTTACTAATTCTTTTCCGCCGTCACTATCAACGCGAGCCTGACTCAACCTTGCACTTCCCTTAGGACATCTCCAGTTACTATCTCCTAGTAACAGTATCACTACCTCTATTCCCATGACCCGTCCTGTGATCTCACTTGCTCCTTCCATTCTCTATGACTCTGCGATTTCACACAAATTATTAGGGCGGCCGCTATAACTTATGCCCCATGAAACTACCAAGGTTTCTCCTTTCTTTCCGTTCCACTTCCTTTCACGTCATCGATTTTTGTATCTTTTTCTTCCCACTTCCACTCCCTTGGTTTCTCTAAGCATCTTTTCCACCTTCTTTTTGCCAGTGTCTGCTGACATGGCACCTGAGGAATCCACCTGCACCACCGCCCTTAGAAACACCACGCAATCCCAACAAATTTAACCAACACCTAACCCCCGTCGGGCTAACCAGAGATACAGCAGTCAAGTGAGTAGACTTACTGCATCAGAATCCACCATTGGGCCATTCCGCATGACCTAGAAGCGAGGGTGAAGAAGCCAATAATTTTACACTAGCTCATAAAAAAAGAGATTGTATATTGAAACTGTTTAGCGCTGCTGTTAAATGTGACGTTACTTTAACCACGCACAATGAGCGTTGCAGTCTTCATTCAGTGCTCAGAAGCTAAACAGGTAGTTTCCGCATAGTCCGATAAACTGCTCTAGGTTACTGAGTTAAAGAAGTTTCTGAAGAGCAACGGTGCTAAAGCTTTGGATAGTGTCGAGTGTAAAGATGCTAATTGGCCTGATGAGCTAATGAAGTGTATAAAATATCTTAATATATGCTGGAAAGATGAAACTGTTTTGGAATCTGGTAAGATATACGCATTTTATCTCATTTTTAGATGCTAACGATGTTCTGACAAGCGTTGCCTCATTATTTATTCAGCTTCCACCCAATAAACTGGTTGAAGCAGTCAACCTTTTGTGTGAAAAGTTGCTAGATTTCACTGGTGATAATACACGGAGGCATAAGAGCAAACTTTTTCCGTAATTGCGTTGTCATAAACTCAAATTCTTAGACTCAACCTACTATTTTGCGGACTCAATCCGAAAAGCCATCCACGTTATCAGATTTATCTCACATTGATAGAGTGTGCAGAAAAGCTAGGCGTTGTGAATCAAGTGATTACAGATCCTAAGAAGGTGGGCTTCTTTTTGCTGTGGATTTGATATGTAGGTTGCTTCTTGGCTCAACGAATGCAACTGTTCAGTCGATGAATGCCAAAGAGTCTGGCAGAAACTGTACGATGCACATGTGGCGCTAGGTGAGAACAGAAGAGCTATCGAGGCAATGATTTATCTTCTTTCGACTTATGACGAGACCACAGCCATACATGCCAGACAAAATGCCATAAAGTAATATACCTCCCTGTACATATCTCCTGTTAGATGTATTATATCAGTGCTGCAAGACCCATCACTGTTGTCCCATGACCAGCTGTACACACTTAAACCTGTTCAGTATCTAGAAGGGGAACCAGTCCACGATGTAAATTGTCTTTTGAATATAACTGTTTTCAGTTCTTCAAGATATTTGTATCGGGAGATTTAAACACATTCAGAAGTTTTCTGACTAAGCATCCAAACTTCCTTGCGCAAAATAACCTGACCGAAGAAGCCTGCATCCACAAACTCCGTCTCTTAACGCTTATGCAGTTATCAGAGAATATTAATGAGTTGAATTACCACGATGCTGCTGCCCAGTTGAATCTTAAGATTGAAGAGCTAGAACCGTTTATAATTGAAGGTAATGTTTTAGTGATTTTGTTGTCGTTTTACGTATAGTAGGTTTTATTTTCACTGATAACGACTTTTCGAGGTTTCAGACTTCTGACATTCCTGAAGGTGTTTACACAGTGAGGGCTATCGATTTCATATTATTTATTTATTATTTGTCCCTTGGGTTCCTAGTGGAATCTAGGGCTTCAGCAGCACATCTCCATTTCACTGCTCTCTGCAGTCTTTCCAACTTGGCTCCATGACTGCCCATAAGCTTTCATTTCTCCCTCACATGGTCTCCTCCATGTCACGCTCGGACGCCCAACCCGTCATTCCCTCTTTGGATTCCACCTAATGACCTGGCCTGACACGTGATGTCTCCGAATGGTCTTCTCAGTGTTTGTCCAATCCCTCCACTTTCTCCTGCATATTTGTTAGACGATGGGTTCTAGGTTGATTCGTTACCAGACCAGAGTTCTTTGTTGCTTATCCTTATTATTCTGGCCATCTGGTATTCAGGATCGAGCGTAGACAGCAGCTGTTGGCGAATGTCTGCAGTTAATGGGAATGCTTTTCGTAAAGCGCCAAGCTTCTGAACCATATAAAAGCACTGACTTGAGTGTTGAAAATCTGGATGTTGTTCACGGTTTATGCTGGGTGGAGTGGAGTAGATCTCCTCACTGGTTTCAGATTGATACAGGAAGGCCTATCTTGCTTTCTTTTGGATCCTGACTGGCTTTAACGTCGTCATCTGTGCCTGTGCCATCTGCAGATGAAACGATGCAGCCCAGACAGGTAGGTGGGTAGGTGAAAGAGACAACTTCCTTTAGGTTTCTCCCGTTCGTGGTGATTGGTGCTTTTTGTTGTTGTTGGTTGGGTATCTTTATCATCTCTGTCTTCTCTACGTCCACCTGAAGCGATTCGCGTCTTTACTGTCCCGCCTCTGCTGCCACTTTGTTGGTTTTCGCCTAGAGATCTTCGAGTTTGTGCGACAAGACATTAGACATAAATCATCATCGGTTTCGAATTCCAAATCTTCTCCTGGGGTCTTTTCATCCATCAAACAGCGTATGGCTATCTTCTTACTCCTCACGGTTTGCTTCATGATCCAGTGCAGTCCATCACAATCAGGAAGAACATCGGTGATAGTGGGTGGCAGCCTTGTCTTACTCCTGTCTTCACTTCCAAGGCATCACTGAGCTTTGCATTGTGAATCACTTGACATATGGCGTCTTCATTAAGCTATTGAATGAGGTTGATAAAAGTTTGTGGCACTAAAACCGAAGTGTTGAAACAGCTGCCTGCCAAGTTACTTCTCGGTCGACGCTGTCGAAAGCCTTTTCAAAATCGATGAAGTTGAGGTAGAGAGTTGACTGCCATTCTACACTCTGTTGTATGATGATGCGTAGCGTAGCGTTGAAATTTGATCCGCACGTGATTCGTACTTCCTGAATCCAAGCTGTTCCGGTCGTAATTTTGAACCCAGCGCATCTTTTAGTCTCCGGGATGATGCGGCATGATATTTTGCAAGGGGTGGCCAGAGGTGTAGCATGATTCCTCACCAGTTCTTGCAAAAACGTAGGTCACCCTTCTTTGGGAGCTTGACGAGGTAGCCCTTCTTCCCTCAATCGGCAGGTACCTTTCCTTCCTTCCTTGCGAACCTTCTGCCATAATGATGTGAACATGTTCACTGTCGTCCACGCGTCTCTTTTTAGTGCTTCTGATGGAATGCCGTCCGATCCTGCTGCTTCCCCTGATTTCAGTTACTTTATGGCCTTCAGGACTTAACTTCTGCTTTTGTTAGAGGGCTTGTGTTCACTGGTAGTTGTGTAGCTGGGCTGCTTGTCGTGTCTCTAGACGAGTTGCACGTGGTGGTGGTCGATTCAAGAGCGTTTTGAAGTGGCCAGGCCACTGTTTCCTTTGTTCCTCCTCTTTGCTAACTACGTTTCCTTCACTATCTTTCATTCGTTTCGCTGCATTGATCTCCCCCCAGAAAGTAACCTGGTTATTTGATGTAGTGTTATCAGGTCTCTCCTACCTGCAACCTGTTCTGCTTCACCTGCCAATGTGTCGTACAAGTGTCTTTTGTCCTTGCACTCATTCTTCTTCACTTCTTTGTTCAGTGTAGTGTTTTATAGGTTTTGTTCAATTCCTCCTTTCGTTGAGCATCCTTGCACTGGTTTATCTTCTGCTTCACCATCCTCTCCATTCTCTATCAGCTTCCATGTTTCCATCGAGATCCATTCCTTGTCTTTTTTCCTCTTCATTCCTAGTAAGGTTATGCAGGTTTCTTTCCACATCTCCTTTAAAGAGCTATATTGTTCCACGCAGGTTCCTTCAGGTATGTTGCTCAATGTCTCCCATTTTGTCTTGATGGCCGAGGTGAAGATGTCCCTATTAGTTTCGTCCTTCAGTTCAGTTTCTGTTCTGGGTGTTGAACTTCAACTGTGGTCTATCACGAACTTCTTTGAAGGCTTTCAACTTGATTTGGAAGGTTCCTTGCACTAGATAGTGAGTGGTGTGAACCTACATGTGCTCCCCTTCTTGATCTCGTGTTCAGTAAGCTGCGTCTCCACCTTCTTCATATCGAGATGAAGTTGATCTGATTTCTAGTGTACTGTGTCGATCTGGTGATTCAAATCCATGTCACTTTGTGAATATCCTTGTGTTTGTACACACTGCCTGATCGAATCACCAAACCGTTGAATGTGCAGAAATCTGCAAACAGTTCTTCATTCTCATTCATTTCACCTAACGCTTCTCAATCCATGATCAGTTTTCTTCCTGTGTTGTCCGCTCCCAGTTTGGCATTCTTGTCACCCATTAGAATGCATTTTGATGTGGCCATCTGGGGTGGGGTCTTGTCCAGTACTGATTGCAGTTGTATGTGGAATTCCTCCTTCTTCTCTCTCTTGATCTACACTATTTGTAGACCCGTAGCATTGTTTGATGGTGTCTTTCCTTCTTTTTTGGTTTGAATGTTGGTGTCATGATCATGGAGGAGACTGGTTCCCACTGCATGAGAGCCTTTGATGCTCTTGGGGACATCATGATAGCCACTCCAAAACTCAGTGTGCTTGTGGTTGTCCTCTGAGTGACAATATCGGAGTAGATTATTTCCAGTCGACAGTTTGGAGAGTCCACTTCCATTCCATTTGCTTTCGCAGATTCCTAGCACTTCTATGCTATACCTTCTCGTTTCTTTCGCAATCTGGGCAGCCTTGCTAGGTTCAAACATTGTTCGGACATTCCATGTCCCCATCCTCACTTTCGCTTTCATCGAGGTAGAGAAGACACCGTCCGACTGGCTTCCCGAAGGCTTTCACCAACTGGCGTCATTTCGCTCCTCCGATTGCACCGAGGAATAAGTTTAATTTTGTCTTATATTTTCTTTGTGCTTTTAAGTTTCTTTAGCGGTTAGATTGTTTTTATGGGGTAGAATTGCTAGCTGTATGCCCAACCTTCCCTTTTTATCCGGGCTTAGGACCGGTTAGTAACTAGTGAACAAGTTATCTATGCGAGGTTATCAACTTCATAAGTAGATGCTATTTTTGTGCCTGCATTTATGAAATTTTTCTGGTGATTCAACTTCCGTGAGTTGTAAATCTAGCATCACGAAGGGAAAATGTATATGAATGCTGCCGTTGGTCTCCATCTACTTATTGAATTAGGTACTCTAGGTAGCCAAATTTGACGATCAGAGACTAGGTTGTATGGCAAAGACAAAGTAACCATAAACTTTTCAAGTTATTGTGGATTATGCCCGCACATTTGGTAGTGGCAAAAGGAAGTGAATTGATGGGTATTACATGGTAGCAAAGTGAATAATCATTGGAAGTTATAAATTTTGGAAATGATCGAAATTGAATGCTGCCATAATGTGACCTTTTCCCATCTGTTTCTTCAAGTTTAACCCTTACTAATGTCTAGTTACTGTGGGATGTATGCACTTGCTTTAGACTTTTGCTAAATCATGGAAATATCATTGTGTCATGATCCGTAATTTTTGACTAATCCTATCATCTTCACATTCAGTACATTTAGTTGGACCGATGGACAATTTTATTAGGTTATGTGTTTATACCTGTTTGTTTGCTCACATCACTCATTGTTTATGATTTTCTCTCTGTCGGAGTTTATTTACTTGCTTGCGACTTTAATGGGATATTTATTCATCCCAGTAAACATTTCCTGCGTCTTAGTATTCATCGTCACAAACAAGTGAGATTAATCATGAAGCTAATGGTATTTAATTGTCAAGACCGCAGGATCATTTGAGTATTCTGTTCAATGTTATAACCGGCCTTTCTATAGTGTTACCATAAGCTCATTCTTCTAAGCGATGGTCTCATCATCTTCCTAATTTTCCTAGTGAGCTTAAATAACTGTGGAGTGTTACGCAATGTCTGTCGCTTTCGCCGCACACCACAGCTCACACCCATTGCAGACTCGTAGTCAACTTATGTTTACATTACTTTCGTTCGTCATTGTGGTCAAAACCGGCTGAAATTAATCAATCAGTCTGAATGAGGTTGCGAAAACCCACTGGTTTTGTATGTCTGTAACCAACTGTCTAACGCTGTTTCCGTAACAGACTGAATATCACGTAAGGTTTCAATAGCATGAGAATCATGGTCATGTTCAAGTAAACGCCTCGCTATCTCCCTAAATAAATACACAATTGAAATTGATATCTTCTAGTCAAGTGAAAGAAGGCCTTACTGCTATCTGTTTCCTGTCCGTAATGACGCATGATTGAAGTTCAAGCAGGTACTCTTAAAAGAACGCAATCCTTCAACGATGGTTGGTAGCTATGGAATCTATGCGTGTCCGCTATCGGTTCAGTGTCAGCGGATGCAGAGTCAGACAGTATCCGTACTTAAACTTAGAATTTTTGATGGTCAGAAACAAGTAACTGTCTAAGCAAAACTTTGAAAGACGATTATGGTTGTCTGTTCCTTCTTAGCGGATGCCGTAGATAACTCACAAATGCCTTTCCGGTTGACTCCCCTTGCCTACTTGAGCACTGAAGTTGCCCACTACTGCGACTATGTGTAAACATTTTATTTTGTGTAACGAAATTGACAGCTTTTGGTAGAATTCATCCTTTGTATCACCCGAACTGCTGTCCATGAGAACGTAGGTGGAAACTGTAAGCGGACACCTACAAGTTTCTAAAGATCCATCCAGTTGAATAGCATCTAGACTGTTGGCTCGTATGCAGTTATGAAGTGCACTTTCTGATCGACTTAATGCTATACTTACACCCGAGAAACTAGTCATTGAATCTCTTGATACTTGCAAAGTGAATTTCCCCAGGTTCCCTATATTGCCCAGATACTGTCAAGTGAATAACCACATTTGGGTCGCATATGCTCGTCTCATAAACACAGCATACATATATGTCTGGAGATTACAGAGCTTCAATCACTAAAAAAAAGCTGAGGATAAGTTGTTCGACTCAAATATCTCATGGCGTCACAGTAACCCCAGTACTGGGTGAACTTCTGCATTGTTAGACGGGTCATTGTTTACTGGCCATAGAACACAAGACAACGAGATCCATGTCAGTATTGCAGTGAGAAATTCTCTGCTTTGTTCCAATTGTTTTCGAAGGTTGTTAATGAGCATCGCATCCAACTCGCAGCCCGTCTCAAGGATACTAATGGGCTCGGATGAGTTGGAATAGTTTCCACCTATGGCCGAGGGTATCTGCTCTATGCATTTTGTGGCAACCAAGCCTTACATTATCTAATTGAGTATAACTTGCGAATAGATGGTATATTTTTTATCGATCGAAATGAAGTGAATGTATTCATTCGTTATCTTGCTTTAATTACAGACATTTTTTCTAATCATTATAACTTGTTTTAACTTGGGTCTTCGAGACAGGTATTATGGCTCCAAACCGTTAGCCGTGATGTGGATGCACTATACCATATCTTCATTGAAACCGTAATTTCATATAGTTTTATTCCCTTCACATGCTTTTAAGCTTTTCTCACGACACAGGGTTGCTAATATTTTCCCTGTCACTTCTTTGTTCTTTTTTGTTAGCCTTTACCTAGGCATGCAGTTTCACCAGATTTAATGTTAAGAATATCTGTCTATCTTAGCTCTTTTTTTGTATTTCTTCGTTCTGCTTCTGCTACTATGGTTATCGTTATTATCACTTGCATTTTCGGGGTTTTTATTCTGTTCTTGCTTTCTCGTAGTGCTTTACAAAATGAAGCAATGCAGACCAATCGACTATTATGAGAGATCTTACGTTTTCATTTTTTTGTGTCCATGCGTGGTCGGGATACAAATCTGTTTCCTTTTAAACAATGACAAGTTTTCTGCAACTAAAAGGCGTCTTCATGTGTAGTTAAATGAAAGTATCTAGCCGGAGCTCCATTCTTCACCTCAGCAGCAAATTACAGGTTCATATGCTAAAATGATCGACTACGGGAAGAAGGTTAGCAATAGTATCTGTTGGCGGAAATTTCGATAAGTGTAGTGATGTTCAAACCTTCGCAGTACTTCTCGGGACTGAAGTATTTAAAGTAATAAAAGTCATCTCTTCACATAGTATTTATTTTTTGACACTTTCCAAAACATATTGGATCTCATACTTTCTTATCAAACTTGGTGATGGTCATCACATTTAATTCATATTACGTTCAAAGTCTACCTATAAGACATGGATAAGAATAACTGTACCCCGGATTTGTCCGGGGCGTTCGTTTCGAAGGCATAACATAGGAGGTAAAATGTAAACCTAGCGGCTATAGACCACTGGTTGGAGACTAGATGATTTGGCTCAGAACCAATATCAGTGGCGTAGATGTATATATACATTATCCTTACCTTAACATTATACCTAATCTCACCATTCTGTTATCTCTCATTCCTATCTTTTCGTACTTTATATTTATTTTGACTGAATTTTCTTTTCTTCATCTTCCACTTCACTGCCCTTTTACTTGATGTACTGCATATGAGCTGTAGCAACTCGGACCGTTACTCAGTAATGCCTGGTTCTAGGTTGATCTGGATGGATGGATTATAGACTATGGAAGAGTCATTGTAGCTGTCATGAACAAAGAAAATTAATTGAGGAGTCAGTTATGAATAGGTTTTTGGGTTAACCTGGTTTGGTTAAGGTCACTATTAGAAATTAAACTATGTGGAATTCATCACGAAGCATTGTAAGTAGAGTTAGAAACTTCATGTTTTCTGATTACCAAGATTCATCGAATAGTTATCTTATTGTGAGATTTGGGAACACTTAATCTATATTTTGCACGGTTTATAATTCACTGTATCTTTTTAAGAAGAATAAGTGATTTACTTCAAAAGTGGTGTTTTATTTTATAATTTAAGTATATGACATTAAGATTTATATGCGATAATTCGCATGAATTTAATTATTTAATTAAGGATTATTAGTAATTTAATTGTTTGTTACTCTTTCATATAATTTTTATATAACACTTTCAATTTTATAGCTGTGCGTCAAAGAGCCGTTGCGTGCAAACTTGACCAAGTTCAAAAAAAGATTCTTATCACTGGAGCATTTCCACGTACATTTGGTCGTCCTCAGTGGGTTAATCTTCGTGATACATTGATGCAATGGAGATCTCATCTTGGTACAGTTCAGTCTAGTTTAAATATGATGGTTCAAAATGAAGCTTCATGAATTTATAGTTCAATATAACGCTCTTTTGTCATTCTTTCACTTTTTGAATTGGTTAATTATTGGCTACAAACTATGAACTGACAACACGTCAGCTACACTAATAATCGAAACAAGCGTATATAGTGGTCATTATAGATGCTTCGTCCATTGACCTATTTCTTGCTTATGCTGCTGTTGTTATTATGTTAGCAGTTACGAATAAAACTTACTACCTGGTAATTAATCAGTAAGACAAGGTTTAAAGGTATCGTTAAACCCCGAAGTCATATCAATACCGAGGCATATCAATCCCAGTTTCCACACATTTCAACAGGACACAATGTTTAAGTTAGCGAAAAATATCTAGTTATTAATTAAAGGTATTAGATAGTGAATGTATATGTACCATGAGACCTTTTTATTCAATAAATCGACATTTTTCTAAGACATAAACTACCTGTTTCATACTGTTTTACGACTGACTGTTTATTAAAAGGAAACAACCTGGTGAGATTTATATGTCGCTAAGGGCGAGAGCTATCAGATACTATTCTCATTCGTTTTTCCTCAAAGTCATAAGTGTTCACTTTATTTCAATTTCATTCTCTCCCTTATAAATGAAATTATCATTATGATATATGTAATAAGTGTATATAAAAGATAGCACAAGTGCCACTCAAAGCTATAGTATCTTGAGTGAACCTCACTAAAAAGTCTGAGTTTTATTTCAAATTCAAGGTTGTCATCATTTCAACCTTACTCATATTAATAGTCAAACTGGAATAATTTTCATCTATTTTATGTACTTATGATATAGACACTAAATCCGTGTACCAAGGAATTTTATTTTCCACTACTTTCAAATGACTAGTTCCACTGCACGTTACAACTCAGTTGGTGATCCTGTCAAATTAAAGGAAGACTAGTACTTGTACAGCGTGAATTTCAACCTTATAATGATAAAATCATAAGTTGCCATCTATGTTAAATGCAAAATCTCTTTGCATTGCAGAACTATGATCAAAGTCTTAATTCTGCATATTAGTGGATTTGGAAAGTAGGGGCTTCTTTCTTCCAAGTGTTGCTAGCTTAGTACACGTGTTTTTCACAGCTATATGTGGAGAAGTGAGCTCTAAGGACAAATAAGATCATCAGTTAGCAAGAGTGCTTAACAAGGTACTATGTAGCGTGTCAAAAACGTGACCTTTTCGTACTGATATGTCTATGAGAACCATAACCATTCGGTGTTACTACTTAAGTCTTTGCTACTAATAAACCTGCCTACACTTTGACGCATAACCACTATTTACTCATCTCTCACTCTTTGTTCTGTGTTGGGGGTGAGTAATAGGCTAAAGTTAGGGTTCGATGGTAGAATATCTCATTTTAATGTTGTATCCCAATTGAAATAATATTGATTACTGAGGTACCTATGGTTTGTCTACTTCACTCACATGTAATGGACTTTTTTCATATGAGAAGCCGTGGGCAAAAGGAAATATGATTGGTTGTTGAATGTCGTGTGGTCAGGATCTAGTTTTTCAACACAAGCTGATATCAGTCATGAATCAAGAAGTAACTGATAACCAATTTATTCAATATTTAGTAGTGTTCATTCTCAAGTCATTCTTTGACCTTATTATAAATTTTGAGATGAACAGCCTTTGTTATTTTCGAGCCAATGTATGGGACATATAGTTTTGGTACATATAACTTCCATTGGCTACATATGTGTGCTGACCTTGAAAATGGAAATAACTGACCCGGTCATAATCGCCTGTTGGTGTTCCCCTTTATCGCTGATTTTAATGGATATTTAAATTGAATTTTGTATGTTATTTAGCTTTCTCTGTAGGAAGTTAAACATGTACGGTGATTTATTCGTTATTGTCACTTGTCAACAAAATTTAGATCTAAAACTTTTCGTAATCAAATTGGAGTGTAAATGAATTTTGTTGGCGTCTTCACCAATTTGAATCCCTTGAAGTTGCACAACAGAACATAATGTGCATACAGGTGAATAAGGTTATTTAATATGTGCAATATTTGTTCAGTATGTGTGCAATTACTTAACCCGGTTTGTTGATAAAAAAAATTATTTCTTTTTCACTTGAATTAAGTATCTATTAAGCATCGAATGAAAAACACATGGTACTGAATACATGTTTCGCACTATATTGTGTCTTGTGAGCGCATGCTAAACATTAAGATCTGTGATAATGTGGTGGGCGTTGCTGACCAGAAAGCATATAAGTAGTATGTGTTGAGACGGTGGCAGAAATCATGGGGAATTTTCAGCAATGGGTGAAGATTCTGCCAAGAGAAACGTAGGAGACAATGTGAGCGTATTAAGAGCAAAGCAAGAGAGGAGCAGAAGAGGAAATGAAACACATTATGCAAATAACTTTTGGTGGAAGGTGTACAATATTTGATGACAAAATGTCAATAATAAACACTCCTTCCTTCTCCGTCTTATCGTTTTCTACAACAGGACCTTCGAGTTAAGTTGGAATTGCCCGGGGATTGAATGTAATTCCTACGGATATTATTTTTAAACTTAACCCACCCGTAATGATGATAAAACCAAAAAAATAATCAGTGTGAAAACGAATCCAATTTTAACTTTTGTAAAAATGATTGATACTAGATAGAGAGAAGTGTACAGTGGACTAGTCATTGGCTGCCACCTTTAATTCGTGGTCGGGCTTTTACATCACAGTAACCTAGCGAGCTGCACTGGCTGAAACGTTAGTTTCTGTAGGTCCTACCATGCCAGAAATGTCTATTGAATGGTGGTAAGGCGAAAAGTGCTTACTGTTGTAGTGCACATTGCTGAACTATGGTGTGGATCCGAGGGCAAAGTCGAACTGCTGGCTGGCCGGGTTGTGACAGCATTAAGGTATTTTCCTTGGATAGTCGCAATATCATGTTGATGCTGCCTTCTTGGTTGCAAGAGGCATAAGGAAGGGTTGGCTCCCGAAATAGCTCACTTCTTTCCGCCCCATGTTCTTCTGGTACCGGTGGCATGAGTTTTCTTTATTCAGGGTTATAACGATCTTCAAAAGGCTGTGTGACAGGCCTCAAGTAGGTGTCCTATGGGCCCTGTAGTCACACAAATATTGTGTTTCATTTGCCTAACAGAAACAACTACGGTATAGAAAACCCGGGAATTATCAACCGCCTGCACACTCCCAGTAGTACACAAGACCTACTCAAATGTAACCTATCCTCCTCAGCTCTGTCTCCTCCTTCGTCTTCACCTCCTTATACTAATATTAAGCCATTTACACTTTTCCCATCCTCTCATCCTGCGATCATTGCGACCGATAAAGCCCATCGAAACCTGTTTCCTAGTCTCCTAAGATCCCGCCGTCGATTTTATGTGAGAACTTTCAAAGTCTGAACCCTATTTCAAAGAAGATAGTAAGCATAGCTCGCGCGGACTCTGAGATCTCGAGCCATAGGTGTATAGTGTGTATCAGAAACACAGGATCTGAGTGTGGCCATTTCCTTGACTCCACATTGCCATTGTAATGAATCTTCAAAATTCACCTTAAGGGTATCCGGAAACCCAATGTCCGACTGTCGTGGACTCGGCGGTGTAGGCATAACATTGAGCTGTACGACCGAAAGTGCACTTTTGGATTAGATACAAGCCAGTAGAAGTTTATATACTATTCGACTGAATAGATCAGTGAGGACTAGGAAAGATCGTGAGACCAACTGATACCTATTCGTAATCTCCGCCTACGCACCCACCGACTTGTTCAGATGACTCGAAAGACGAATTCTATAAAAAGCTGTTAACTTTACTACAGAAAGCAAAGCGTCATAATAGCAGATGACTTTAACGCTCAAGTATAGAAATTTAGTTAATAGGAAAGCCATCTTGGGGGTGTGTATGGAATTCCATGCCAACGAACTGACAACCGTTATCGTCTGTTGCACTTTTATTCCGACAATCACTTGTTTCTGGCTAGCACTAATTTAAGGCATAAGGAGAGACACTTTCACATGGTGTCTACCGGCACCAAACCAATAATGGACACAGATCGATCATATTGCTATAAGCTATTGTTGGAGTGGATCAGTGTAGGATTGCCGCTCTTTCTGGAGTACACGTTTGTGCTCTGATGATGCATCGGTATGGACAAGTGTGTTTCTGCACCTTACTAGTCACAGGAAGCAAGCGATAGTATAGCCTGTCAGTGCTCGATTAGAAGGTGAGAACATACATGTTTAGGGAGGTGATAGGTGTGCATTTATCTGAAAGTGATAGCAATGTTCATCCTCGGGAAACTAGGCATGATGTTTAGTCTGCTATGGAAAAAATGGTAAAGACATTAGGTAGCCTACATACAAAGGTTAGTAAGTGTCATTGGATTTCAGCAGTGTCATCGGAATTGATTGATGCGAAAAGACTTATACCAGCTGGTTCTGAACACTATGAGTAGCGAAAGCACCTCAAACGTAAATTTACTAAGATTCTTCGGTATGACTATCAGCAGTGGTTGTTAGGGAAGACGAGAGAGATGAAGAAAACATTAGAAGTATGTATGCCCGGCAGTTATCTGCGCTTATTTAGGATGCTGGCAAGAGGAAGGTGATGATGAGCCAGTGAGTAAGAACATTGCCAAAAAAGATAGGACCTTGATAATCTATCAGGACAAACGGCTAGAATGTTGGACAAAACCCGCTGAATCACACTTCAACCAGTCCACTACAACGCTCCAGTTACCGGGCATTCAGCCTGAACGTGAATGGGACGTAGGTGTTGGTCATCCACCGCTTCCTGAAGTTGAGAAAGCTGTGTCAAACCTGAAACGATTCCAGGCAGAGGGAGCTAACAGTTTACCACCTAAAGTTTTCATGGATGGAGGTATAAAATCTCTAATTAAAGGGATTGAGGTACTAGGCATTGTATGGAAATCAGAGGTATGCCGACAGACTGGTGTACTTCACTGATTATCTCAGTCTTTAAGAAGGGAAAGAAGTCTTCCTATGACAATCATAGGGGGCTT